TACTTCCATGTCATAAAGGCTTAGTCATGTCTCTTGACCAACCAATGAGCTGGTGCCCTGACAGTGTGCCCATGGGTGCAACACAATATCAAAGCAGACCAAGGGGGGATTGAAACATGGTGAGGTCTCAGAACTCTGGTGCCAGAGTGTGTTGTTTGAACCCTCTAAAAAAATCTAACAGAGAGTAACAACTGTGACCTCCATAAGATTCGATGAGATGTTCCATGATATGGACTTGTAAGAAGAGAGATATAGGTCTGATGGTGACATGAAGGCTACAAAAACATCCTAACATGCTAGTGGCTTGATTAATTGCACTTTCCATGTTGACTACTGAGTCTGGATAATATGGTACTTTCAGGTTTTTCCACATATTGTAGTTCATGGCAACCAATACCAAACCAGAGTTGAGGCACCCATGCATCTTCATGTCATTGTTACCAACCAATATTTCGATGGCACGCAAGGGAAGAATAGTTTTACCAACCACCATGCCCACTGGAGCATCATTGCCAGAAATGTGCAGTGTATGAGCCCATGTGGGGACATCTTTTTCCTGTACTGCCTTGCAGCATGTACTGTCTGTTGCAGCAGTTGTGTTGATACCATTGGTATCTTGGTGTAGAAACACTGGTTGTACTCCATGTTGGGTCTGGTGAACCAATGTCTGATAATTGACCATTTTCCTGACATCTGGAGATACTGCTAACAATTCTCAGAATGTCAAGGTCATTGGTATATTGAGCATGTTTTCAAGTATGCTATCAATGAGAGCCATTTGTTCAATGGGTGCTCATAGGTGAGTCCATTGGGTGTTTTTGGAATCCACAATGGCTTGGGCTGATGGGGGGTCTTCATGCTTCATGGACTCTTCTTTAATGGTGATGGGATCTACTGACTGTGTCATATGTGGCAGTATATTGTGGGGTGTAATGGTATCTGTCATGATGGGGTTCTGAGGTGCTGTAACTGGCCTTTCTACTGGGGGACCTTGCCATTGGGAATGGTTCCTGATTCAACTGATTTTGACTTGCAAGGCATGGATTTCATCCAGTTGTTCTTGTGATAGTAGACCAGCAGTATCCTTTGCCTCGGTATCAGCAAATAATGCATTTGGGGTTTCCATGGCAAATGCTTGTGTGAGTGGTTCAGCTGTGGTAAACAATCCAACTGGCACCATGCCTTGGCCTTGTTGGTTGATCTCCACTGTCTTATTTCTGGGATTCTGCTGGTGCCATGTTCAGACGTGGTCACAGAGTAATTTGCCCTGTATAGTAGTGGGTACATATTGACCTGTTGGCAAGACCACTCTGTGGTCTTGGTTCCTGATAACAAACCCATTGCGGATAGCAATTTCCATGTTGGGACATTCATTGATGAAATGGTCTGGGAGGCTGCACCAATTACAAGTTCACGTGGATGGTGTACCAGAGTTTGCATTACTTGTGTTACCTGCAGTATTCTGACCATATGCATTGTTTGTATTGTAATTGTTACTGGTATTTGAACAGCACTGTTAACTGCCTTGTTGTACCAGTGTGCTGAGTACATTGACAACACATTGACAATATTATCCAGCTTGTTGACTAAGGTATTTGTGGTAGTAGAATACACTGGTTCAGCTTTGAGGGGAAATGTGCTCAAGGTTCTGGTATTTGAGGATGTACTCAGAGGTGAAAAACTGGTATTTGTCCCAATGCTTGAAAGGGATATAATGGGTGCATCAGCCAGGGTAGCATGAAGTAGCCAAGATGCAGTAATTTGTATGTCAGACATTGGACATGGAATTTCCGCAAGTTTGGTGAGAACTTGACTTGCAAATTTGATATGTAATCCTTGCATGGTTCTTCTCTCTTTCTGATAACTGTTCTCCTTCACCAAATGACCTGGTGATATGATGGAATGCATGAATGTACTCTCCCAATTGGGCTCAAGTACTCATTGGTGCTGTGGCTGATTTATGCATTAATTCCTCAAGATCTGCATAGGTAAAGTTTTTGTCTTCCTGTGATGTGCCTGGATATAGCTTGTATATGTCGGCCTTCCAGGTGTCATAATTGCCTCCTTTGAATGATGGTAGCTTCTTCCAGACCACTTTGGTAGCAGCCAGAGTATACTGCACAGCATATTTGGAATGTTGGGCAGCCAGTAGTTTATTGGATTCTGCACACTGTTTGAAATCATTGAAGTACTGCCATAGATCTGTAGGGGTGTTCAATTCTAGTTTCAGTGCATTGGGTGATGTCCATATTGGCATTTGATCACTGACATCTCCTTCTGGGTTGACTCATGCCAGCATGATAGGATTGAAAGGCTCCTGGTCTGACAGGTCAGTAGATGGTGGTACAATGATATCAGAATCAGGTAATTCTGACATGTTTTGTGAGGAGGTGGTTCTGACAGTGTACTAATGGTAACTTGAAATACCAAATCACTTGGTAATTGTTCTTCTGGTTCTTCTTTGGTTTGGATAGACTCCTTGAGTTGTTGCAAAAGTCAGGAACACCTTGTTTGAACTATGTTGGGCAACTTGGTATCTCTGCGGGTTCACAGAGAGATAACAGCAATATCTGATCTCATGTGTTCTATGACAATGTGGTGGTAACAACAAAGACCATGGTAATAAACACTGGGTGCAGTGACGGAGGGTACACCAGAGTCTATGATGTATGACAATATGGCAATAGTGATGGGTGATGACAGTGGATGGTGGTTAACAATGTGGCAGTAATGATGAGGACTGCACTAATAAACACTGGGTGCAGTGGTTTGATGACAAGTAACAAGTGCAAAGACAGTAGTGTGGTATACCCACAATCATATGTTTGAATAGGATGTGCTATCAAGGAGTGGGTCTAGCTAGAGAGGGGATACAGAGTGGTCAAAGGGGAAGAGTTTGGCCCCCTGTTACAGGGAGATATGGCTATCTAATATAGAGTCTAAAGGAATGTGGAGGTGGTAATCAGAACATACCATGGAAGATACCTGAAACCAATCAAGTAAGACATGCCCTTGATCTTGGTCCAGCCAGCTGACTCAGTCAACTTGGATAATCCTAGATGCTCTAAGAGTGCCAAACTGGATAATCCCTGGGTGCTCTGGGTATGGTTGCTTCGGAATAATCTTGAGCACACCATGGGATAATCCACTGGATAATCTCAGGATATCTGGGATAGGTAGTATGGGTGGCAGGTGTAACGTTTGCATAGTTGTACAATCATAAGCATAATCTATCATAGCAGACTAATGGGCAGACAATCTTCTCAGAACTCATAGGACCATTTTGCCCCTGCATTCTCCTCCTCCCCATCCCCATCCCCCTCATCCTCCACCTCTTCCATGCCCTGTTCTTCCTTGTCTTCCTCTCTCAGGTGAGTGGCAACAACATGGTACTGAAGTTCTGTGTAAAACTTCCTGATGTCAATGTTCTATTCATTATCAGTACCACTTTCCATCTCTCATAGCATGAATGTGTCAGGGCACCAGCTCATTGGTTGGTCAAGAGACATGACTAAGCCTTTATGACATGGAAGTAGCTGGTATACCTTGGCA